GCGCGGAGCGGAGCGCGCCAGGGGCGGCGCCAGAGGCACCGCCAAGGGGGTCCAGCGCGGATCCGAGAAACCCGCGCGGACCTCCGAGTTTTTCTATTTACGTCATGGTTCGCTCCCTGAAAACAGCTGATGGCGCCTGGACTCCAGTCCCTCCTCTGCCTGTGCCACTGCCGGCTCTTCTCGGAGTCTGTCCGCAGGCCGGAAGCCCGACGAGGTCGCGGTCGCCTGCCCTGGCCGTCTCTTCGATGGCCACCCGCAGCAGGAGTCCAGAATCTCCGTCGCCTTCCTCGTGGTAGTTGTTGCGATCGCTCTCCTGGTGGTAGCTTTAGGTTCATGTCCTCCTACAGGTGGATGTTGGACGAAAACTGAAAAATCTACAAAAATATATTCAACAATGATCAACACTAGTCAAAAAATCGTCCCCTGACTATTTTTGACTATGTTTGAATATTCCTCCTGTAGACGGACACGCCGGACTTAATGGTAACTGTCGGACCCGTCGCTCTCCTTTTAGTGGCTGTCGGCCTTCTCGCCGTCGCCGCTGTCTGCTGTAACTGCCGCCTTTTCTCGCACGAGCTGTTCCTCCTCGTCATTCTTGCTCCTCGAGACGCCGGCGCGTCCCACTCGTCCGAATACGCACGATTGCCGAGCGAACGACGAACCAACCAGGACCCGCCATGTATCGCGGACACCAATGCCTTCTGCACCACTGCCTGCAGCCACTGCCGCTGTCAATGCCTGCTCTTCTTGCATCACTGCCTGCTGCAGCACTGCCTGCTGCCACTGCCGGCGTGCAGTGGTCAGACGCCTCGCGACGCAGGCATATCTCGCCCGCTCGGTCAACTCGAGGGCCTCCAACATTTCTCGCACGCGCTGAGCCAGGCATTTAGCTCATGACGTGTGGTTTCCATCACACTTACACAATGTGTTGCCACTGCTGGTGTTTTTCTCACATGCTGGTTCCCTCCTGTGGCTGATGGCGTCTGGAATCTGGCACGTGCACCACTATATGCTGCCACTGCCGCCTCTTTTCTCGCATTCTGGTCACCGCATGCAGCTGATGACGTTCAGTGTCCATCTCTTGCGCACCTATCCTGCTGCCATTGCGGGTTTTTCTCGCGCGAGCGCTGGTCCGAGCCTGCAGCTGATGGCGTCTGGCGTCCAGCTCCCAGGTCACCGTATCTTGCCACTCCCGCCTCGTTTCTCAAGCACAAGTCTACGCATGTAACTGATGGCGTCTGTTGCCGATCACTTGCACCACCTCTACCAGCCAATGCTGGCCAACGCTTCTTGTACACGCTGGTTCCCGCCTGTGTCGCAAGGCGTCTGGTATCCAGCCTTTGCGCCACCACTGCGGCCTTTTCTCGCACGCGATCGTTCGCACATGTAATTGATGACGTCTGGTATCTGGCTCTTGCACTGATATATGATGCCATTCACGGCTCTTCTCACACGCTGCCAAGTTCCTGTGCCATCGTCTGGTACCACTGCAGGCTCTTCTCGCATACGTTGGTCTACGCATGTGGCCCAGGACTTCCGATATCCATATCTTGCACCTGCTCCTTTTCCTCCTCCTCCTCCTCCTCCTCCTCCTCCTTCGCCTGTAGCTTGATGACGCATGGTATCCTCTGCCGGCCTCATTATGATTCCGACTCCTCCTCATCATCGTGATTATTCCCTCCTTCTCCTCCTCCTCCTCCCCCTCCTCCTCCTCCTCCTCCTCCTAATCCTCCTCCTCCTCCTCTTTGTGCGACCCCGCCTTCCCCCTGCAACTCTTCCCCCATAATGCTCCTGATCATCCTTCTGATCTTTATAGTTGCTCCCTAACCCTCCGCCTCATCGTTTTCATCATCAGCACGCTCATCACCATCAACTCCCCAAACATCATGGAATCATCATATTCCCCCTCACAATGAGGAGCAGCATCACAACTAATATCGTCATACTCATCCTCATAGTCATCATCATCAGCATCAGCATCAGCATCAGCATCAGCATCAGCATCATCATCATCATCATCATCATCATCATCATCCTCATCATCATCAGCAGCATCATCAGCAGCAGCATCGTCATCATCATCGGAATCATCATCCTTATTAGCATCATCATCGTCATCGTCATAACCATTACCATCAGCATCACCATCGTCAAGGTCATCGTCACCACCTTCACCATCACGATTACCATGACCATCACCATCACCATCAACATGCCCATTATCGTCAGTAGCATCGTCATCACAAACATCAGCACAACCAGCATGATCAGAAACATCACCATCAGCATCATCTTCATCATCAGCATCATCAGCATCAGCATCATCATGTTCATGCGCATCGTCATCATCACCATAATCATCAGAATCGTCATCATCAGCAGCATCATCAGCATCAGAATCATCGTCGTCATCAGCAGCAGCATTATTCTAATCATCAACAGAAACATCAGCATCAGTATCAGCATCCTCATCGTCATCATCATCAGCAGCATCATCATCGTCAGCAGCATCATCATCATCGTTATCACCATCAGCATCAGCATCATCAGCATCATCAGCATTATCATCGGTATCGTTATTGTTATTGATATCGTTATCGTCATCGTAATTATTCCTCCTGCTACCCCTTTTCCCCTCCTCCCTCCTCCTTCTCCCGCCGACGCCTCTCAGCTCCTCTGCCATACGCCCTCCTGCCTCCTCACTCCTGTCTACGCCTGGGGAGCTACACAGCTGGAGGGTCACGATCCCGTAGTCCGTGTGCTCGGTGCACGAGCCCCCGGCGGGGTAGATGCAGTGCCGCATCGCCTCGGGCAAGCGAGCGGGCAGGGAGGAGGGAGGAACAACTCGAAACGCAGTGGGCTGAAGTTGGAACGACATGATAGGTTTGCTTACTGGGCGCAAGCAAGAAAGTAACATGTTTGGGGCTCGGACAACTCAACACACAGTATTCATTTGTTCGGCGGCGCCCGCAAGGGCAGCGCCCGCAAACGCTGGCGCAGGGGTCGGTTCTGGCGGGCTACGCTTAGGTCGGGCATATCCCCCTCCAGGCGGATTTTGGGTGAAAAATTGAAGATACTCCAAAAATATTCAAAAATGTTCAAAAACAGTCAAAAATGGTCCCCATCCTATTTGTTGGCTATTTTTCATTAGTCCTCCTGTAGAGGGACAGGCCCGACTCCAGGCTACGCCGGGCGCGGGGCGCGGGTGCAGGTGGAAAAGCAGAGGAGGAGGAGGAGCAGGAGGAGGAGGAGGAGGAGGAGGAGGAGGACGAGGGGGAGGAGGAGGAGGAGGAGATGGAGGAGGAGGAGGAGGAGGAGGAGGGGGAGGAGGAGGAGGAGGAGGGGAGGGGGAGGAGGGGGAGGAGGAGGAGCAGGAGGAGGAGCAGGAGGAGGAGGAGGAGGAGGAGGAGGAGGCCGCGGAGGAGGGGGGGCGGCAGAGGCCCGCCCGTCGAGAGCTGGCGGGCGAGGGGTGCGCAGGCGGCCTCGGGCACCGAGGGCGGTGCGTGCGGCAAGCGGCGGAAGAGCGAGAAGACCCCAAGCGTCGAAGTGCAGTGTTTTTTTTTGGAGGCGACGAACGCAACATGATGGGCCTGTTTTCCACCACCACCACCATAAGTTGGAGGGGGGAAGGAGGTGGAGGATGAGGAGGAGGAGGAAGAAGAAGAGGAGGACCCCCTCCCCCTCCTACTTATGGTGGTGGTGGTGGTGGTGGAAAACAAGCCCACCACAACAGCTCTCGAGTCACCTGTCCACTCCGTAGCGGCACGCGGCAGAGATTGACCAGTGGCTTCATTTACCGCAACATCCCAGAGGTAAAAAAGCACTGGCGCGAAGAACTGAATTGGCCGGCCGGGTAAACGTCACCACATTCAGGGGGAAAGGGAAGAGGAGGGGGACGAGGACGGAGGAGGAGGAGAAGTGCAGTGTGGGGAGCCGGCCACAAAAAACCTTCCACAAGAAACCCAACCCTGAGACCCCAGGACGTCCATTGATTTTTGGTGTGCAGGATCCGGGGAGAATCCGCGGAAGTCGTTTTAAGCAAACAGTTACACACTTCGTGGTCTTCGAGGTCCCAGAACTCCATTCCCGGGCCACATTCTGAATGCCCAGAGCCAACTGTAGGCCATTTCGTGGTCTTCGAGTTCCCAGAACTCCAGTCCTGGGCATGATTTTGAATGCCCAGAGCCAACTGTAGGCCAATTCGTGCTCTTTGAATTCCCAGAACTCCATTCCCGGGCCACATTTTGAATGCCCGGAGCCAACTGTGGGCCACTTCGTGGTCTTCGAGTCCCAGAACTTCAGTCCTGGGCATGATTTTGAATGCCCGGAGCCAACTGTAGGCCACTTCGTGTTCTTCGAGTTCCCAGAACTCCATTCCCGGGCCACATTTTGAATGCTGAGGCAGGTTGATGCTGAGGCTGAGGCAGGCTGAGGCTGAGGCCGAGGCTGAGGCTGAGGCCGAAGCTGAAGGCAGACTGAGGCTGAGGCTGAAGCAGGCTGAGGCTGAGGCTGAGGCTGAGGCAGGCTGAGGCTGAGGCTGAGGCAGGCTGAGGCTGAGGCAGGCTGAGGCTGAGGCTGAGGCTGATGCAGGCTGAGGCTGAGGCAGGCTGAGGCTGAGGCCGAGGCTGAAGGCAGACTGAGGCTGAGGCTGAAGCAGGCTGAGGCTGAGGCTGAGGCTGAGGCTGAGGCTGATGCTGAGGCAGGCTGAGGCTGAGGCTGAGGCTGATGAAGGCTGAGGCTGAGGCAGGCTGAGGCTGAGGCCGAGGCTGAAGGCAGACTGAGGCTGAGGCTGAAGCAGGCTGAGGCTGAGGCTGAGGCAGGCTGAGGCTGAGGCTGAGGCAGGCTGAGGCTGAGGCAGGCTGAGGCTGAGGCTGATGCAGGCTGAGGCTGAGGCAGGCTGAGGCTGAGGCCGAGGCTGAAGGCAGACTGAGGCTGAGGCTGAAGCAGGCTGAGGCTGAGGCTGAGGCAGGCTGAGGCTGAGGCTGAGGCAGGCTGATGCTGAGGCAGGCTGAGGCTGAGGCTGAGGCTGATGCAGGCTGAGGCTGAGGCAGGCTGAGGCTGAGGCCGAGGCTGAAGGCAGACTGAGGCTGAGGCTGAAGCAGGCTGAGGCTGAGGCTGAGGCAGGCTGAGGCTGAGGCTGAGGCAGGCTGATGCTGAGGCAGGCTGAGGCTGAGGCTGAGGCTGATGCAGGCTGAGGCTGAGGCAGGCTGAGGCTGAGGCCGAGGCTGAAGGCAGACTGAGGCTGAGGCTGAAGCAGGCTGAGGCTGAGGCTGAGGCAGGCTGAGGCTGAGGCAGGCTGAGGCTGAGGCTGAGGCAGGCTGAGGCTGAGGCTGTGACTGCGACTGCCGTTGCCACTGCGACTGTCATCGCGAATGCGACTACGACTGCGAGAACAGCAGAATTCTACAACTGGATGATCATCTGAATCTTAAGGGGAATGCTTCCAGATATGCTCCTACACATCGCTGTTAGGTTGCTTCGCCGGGATAATTTTGAATATTCCCCCTGTAGAGGGACAGGCCCGACTTAAGCGGAGCCTGACGGGCGGGCGGGGCGGGCGGGCGGACCCTGGCGAGCGGGTCGGGCGGGACATCGAAGCGGGCGGGCGGGTTTCAAACAGCACTGACAGCAGCAGCCTAGAGGTCTCCAGAGGGATTTGGGACAGGGGCCGTCCCAACCCCCTCCCTAGTTCCCAACTCCTCGATGCCTCCCCCGATGACCTCCCGACTCCTCGATGCCTCGATGCCTCCCCGATCCCCACTCCATCGACGCCCTCCCAGTCGACCCCTCCCCTCCCCGATTTCCTCGATGCCGCCGCCCTCCGGGTACGGCGCGCCAGGGCAGAAGAGGACACCAAGGGGACCGAAAGATCTGCCGATCTCTGTCGTGCAGCTCCCTCGGCACCGGCGGGGGGGGAGGCGAGGCGAGGCGAGGCGAGGCGAGGCGAGGCGAGGCGAGGCGAGCGCCGAGGCCGCTCCGCGCGTGGGCCCAGGAGCGCCTCCCAAAGAGGTCGGCGGCGGGGCGGTAGCCCCTCAGAAAAGTCTGAAGGGGCCCAAAGACCTACAAACAAATACACACACACACACATGCCAATAATTCATATCTTTTCCCCTATCTTCTGGGCTTCTGTCTTCCCCCACCTTCCCATATTTTCCCATATTTTCCAGGGGATCGACGATTAATTGTGTTTGTGTTTCTTCCCCTCCTGAAAGTCGTCAGCCCCGCGCTGTCTCGGCCCACGTGGACCAGAGGGGCCGGAGGGCCCAGCATCGAATCGACAGGTCGGGTCGGCGGCCGAGGTGAATCGGATCGGCGTAAATCGGCGGCCGGGTCGGGAAAAATAGAGTCGGTGGAAATCGGCAGGCTGGTATGCCTCCGATAAGAGATCGGAGACCCAATCGGAGCCCGAAGTCAAATCGAATCGGAGTCGGAAACCATCAAAGTCGAATCGAGTCGAATCGAAGGAATCGAAACGAGCCCTGGAGGGGTGAAGGGGACAGAGAACGAAAAACCACATACGGGGATCTGACGCACTGCTGCAGTACTCGCTGGAGGTCTCTGTGGGTCCTCACGCCTGGTCTCCGACATGTCTGCACCGCTGGGGAAAATCCCACATCCGCAAGTTGTGCAATTCCTCCGCATGGCACTTGGGGAGCGGCGGAACTATATCTATAAATATATGTGTACATATCTATATAGACATGCATACATACATACATACATACATGCATGCATGCATGCATTACATTACATTACAGCACATTACATTACATTACATTACATTACATTACATTACATTACAGTACACTACACTACACTACACTACATTGCATTACATTGCATTACAATACATTTACATTGCATTACATTACATTACATTACATTGCAATGCATTGCATTGTATTGCATTGCATACATACATACATACATGCATACACACATGTATGTATACATACATACATGCATACATGCATGCATGCATACATATACATGTACATATACATATACATATACGTATACATATACATATACATATACATATACATATACATATATACATATACATATACATATACATATACATGTACATATACATATACATATACATATACATATACATATACATTTAAATATATGTATATATACATGTGCATATACATATACATATACATATGTATACATATACATGTACATATATCTATATATACATACATTAACACATGCATGCAGGCATACATGCATACGTGCGTACATGCATGCATGCATACATGCATACATGCATACGTGCATACATACATGCATGCATATATACATACATTACGTACATACACATGCACATATATGGATACATACATACACACATATACATGCACACATATGTACATACATGCATTAATACATGCATACAGACATACATGCATACATGCGTACATGCATGCATGCATACATGCATGCATGCGTACGTGCATACATACATGCATGCATATATACATACATTACGTACATCCACATGCACATATATGTATACATACATGTATACATACATACATACAAACGTACATACATGCATTAATACAGCCATACAGGCATACATGCATACATGCGTACATGAATGCATGCATACATGCGTACATGCGTACGTGCATACATACATGCATGCATATATACATACACTACGTACGTACACATGCACATATATATATATATACATATATATAAGTATACATGCATGCATGCATACATATATATATGTATATGTGCACACATGCATATCAATATACATGCATACATGCATACATGCATACA